TATTGAGGTTATTAAATGTAACTTCTATCTTATCTATATTATAAAGGTAGTATAGGAAGGGTGTATTTATTAGCATAACGTAGAAGGTAATAGGATTAAGTGGCGTGAGGACTTTAATAGATCTTAAGGAGTGGATAGGGTTGCTAGGGCTAAATCTAATAGTAGCTACTCTTATAGTATTAACTTTGAGGTTTAATATTAATTATTAAAGTATGAGGACTTAAGGCTAGCCTGCTGTTAAATATTTAGAGGTATTAGTGTTAGGTAGGATACCTTAGAAGATTATTGATCTATACCTTCCCTTGAGAGAGAACTATGAGGCATATTCTTTAGGCTTAACTGTAGCGTATAGATCCTGCTTAGTGATAGCGTAGAAGGTGGTGTTATTGCCTAATGCGCTAGTAACTTTAAAGCTGTTAAAAGTAATACTAGTAAAGTAAGGGGTGAGAAATTATTAATTTTTATTATCTAAGCTATCTAACCTATATTAGCTATCTTTAGCATTAGAGTTATTAACGTTAAGAGTGCTAAAGTAGTTTAATATATCTTTATTATAGCTATTAATAAGAAGGTTATTAATACCTTTAACGCCCTTATACTATATTAGAAAGTGATTAAAGGTAGGGGTAGAGGTATCTTTGTTAATATATGTTTGCTTAAAGCAGTTAAAAGCCTTATAGCAATCTTCAGTAGGGTGCTTTGTTAACTAGTAGCCTGTTTTGCTATAAATATAGCACTTCTTCTTAGATTTAGGAAGTATAGGTTGAGGGTGATGTTAACTATGAGGTGTATATAGGTGATAGCTGAATTGAGAGCTGCAACTGCGGCTATTATATTAACGATTGGTCTAGTATTAGTTATTAATAGGAGCTAGATTTATTATAAAGTGCTTGTAAGTCTAGCTTTATATTGTAATACTAATAGATGATTAAAGCTGGTTGGTAACGCTCTTATAGTCCTTAGTAGGGCTTATAAGAGTGTAGTTATACTTAGGTATACCTTAGTAAGTATTAAGAACTTAATTATAAAGGGTATTATTAGAGTAGTAGATAGTAGAGAGGGTATGTTAGATAGTGATAAGCTTATTAAATACTATCTTGAGGTACTCTATTTTAGTCTTATTAAGGTTCTCTAGGATTATGTAGTTGAGGGTGGTATTATGCTACTTAGAGAGATATGCTTAATAGGACTCTTTAGTCTTAAAGTGGGTTTTAACTTTAGTAACTAAGCTGGTGAGGTTAATAGGTATATTATTACTATAGAGCTTATTATAGTAGTAGTTAAGTGCTTTACCCTTAAGTATGATGGAGAAGGCGCCTGGGGTTTAAAACTAGTTGATATTTACCTTAATATAGTAATCCTTAAAGATAAGAAGCTTAGAGTTAAGGATATTATATATATCACCCCTAAAGCGTATATTATTATGGTATAACTTTGTGAGATCTATAAGTTAATGAGGGGATAGTTAGTTAAGTGTAGCTAAGTTAACTAGGTTGTAGTTAGTGATATTAATGTTAAAGTTGCTTAGAGGGATAAAGGTAGTTAATTAGTAGGTTTTAGAAGGAATTAATCTATCTTAGGTGGAGCTGAAAGATAGCGCTATGCTGGTGGGGGTGTAGGTGGAGTTAACTAGAGGTGCTAGGGGAGGTTTAGGCTTAATACCTTAAATATTATTAAAGAAGTTAGTGTTTCTGATAGCTTTCTTAAAGGTAGTAATCTTAGAGGCCTTATTATTAATCTCTTCTATAGTTTACTTATAGAAGTCTTAGTGAAGAGTAGTATAGATATTAGAGGTAATAGAGGTGCTGTTTATAGTGATATAGACTCTGTTAGTAATGAAGAAGTCTCTGAAGTCCTTTATAGTAGTAGGGTTATAGTGAGTGAAAGCAGACTTTAGTACCTTTTTAAAATTAGTATATGCTTAACCTTAGAGGGTAGAGCTAGTGAGGCTATTAAGTTAGTAACACTCTATATTAAATAGAAAGTATAAAGTAAGTTACTGTTAAGTAGTAGTATTTAACTCTAAGTTAATATTACTAAGTTTTCCCTAAACGCTATGATTAACTATATTATAGACCTAAGTAGGGATAGGGATAGGGTAGTTGCTAACTAGAGGGCTAGGAGGAGGTAAAGGGGGTAGAGGGGGTAATAATCCTAAGTTAGAGGAGTTAGCTATCGTTAAAGGGAGTTATTAATAGAGTGAGGCGTTAAGTTAAGTAGTAGGTGAGGTTTATTACGCTATAGTTATAAAGAGCTTAACTAGGAACTGAGGTAGCTAGAGCTTATTCGTCTAGTAGATAATTTACTACTCTATTACTTACTTAACTTAATACAGTTTAATAGTAGTTAAAGATAGAGGTATAAGGGCTAGGGAGGGCCTTTACTAAAGCAAAAAAAGAGTATTATAGAAGGTAGTTAAGAAAGGTAGGTAGGGTTTAGTAAGTGATATTATTAATAAAGTAGTAAACTCTTAAGGATATAAAGGTAGCACAGCAGTATTATAGAAGGAGTGTAGGTTAATAAAGTTAAAAGATAGTGAAAAATTCTCTTCTTAGCTAGCAGTTAGCAGTTAGCATTTAGTGGTTAAGTAGCAGAAAAATTCTTATAGTAGAGTATATTATGTAGGTAGTTATTATTAAATAGACTTAAAGCAGCTGTTTACTATTAATATTAACTTAGCGAAGAAGAAGGTAGTTAAGGGCTATTAAAAGTGGGGTAATCTCTTATCTATTTATATAGCGTGAAAACTCTGCTTATAGGGGGTAGGAGGCTGAGAGAGGTAGTTAGTAAGGTAGGAAGTTAACTTTACTATTAATTATGAGTTAATAGGTTAATATTAACGTTAAGGGTTAGGTGTATAATAGATGCTCTTTGAGTAGGAAGTAGGAGTAATTACTAAGAGCGTTCTAAGTAGGATAGACTATCTCTTAGGTTATATTATGACTACTTTTATTAAGTATAAGATTAGAGGTTATGAGGGCTGTTATCATAATCCTATTGTTATTAATACTATAGGGAGATATTACTTAATCCTATTAGTACTAGCGACGTTAGCGTTAACGTACTCTTCTTAGAGATTAGAGGAGGGTAAGTTTAAAGTAGCTTAGGCGATATAAACTATCTTTTTTGAAGTTTGCGACTACCTTATTAGTATAGGTTAATTAATTAAGCGTTCCTAGGTAGAATAGATCTAAACGAATATTAATAAGACTGCCTCTTCTAGAGCCTTACTGATCTATAGTTAATTAACATATTACATAATAGTAATTGTGAAGTTAACTACTAATTAGTGTTAGTCTCATAGGACTAGCTAGCTAGTAAGGGTTACTATAAGTAGTAAATATTATATTATATTAACTACGTTAGTGGTAATATGTATGTGGTTAACTACGTTAGAGGTAGCAGCTACAATTGCAGCGTTAATTATAGAGGGTAATGCCTTACGTAATCGCTAATTACATAAGGCGCGCCTAGCTTAATTAACGCTGCGATAGGCTAGCGTTACTAACAACTATAATAAATATAATTAATAATAATAATAATAATAATAATAATAATAATAATAATAATAATAATAACTGTATTAAAGAAATAACTTATTAGTTTTTCTCTTACCTTTTTACCTATAA